GAGAAGTTCTCTTGGTTCCGAACCTCTTGTGGCGACTTTGTGCTGCAGGGGAAAGACCTACAGACGACGGAGATTCTCGTACGACGTGTCATGCAATTGGGTGATGTCTTTGTGCACTGCGACGTGGATGGTGCACTCCCTTGTTTACTTCGGCCTATTGGCTCTGCGTGGGCCACCGCCTTTGTGGAAGATGTAGAAGGCGATCCTCAGGAGGGTTGTCAGGCAAAGACGTGTCGTATACACATGACAAGCCTTGATGAAGCTGGTGCGTGGTGCGTGAGCCGCAGCTCTGCGTGGGAGGGTAAATTCAGTGTTGCTGCCTGGTGGGTGCATGCGTCACAGATCAACGGAGGTACCGCCAGTGGCTGTTACCTTTTCGACGGGGAAAAGCACTACCTGCGACCGCAGCCAATCACATTCGCATGTGGACTTTTATTCCGTGTTTCCACCCGCCGCATTGATCCTAACGACCGTGACGAGTTGCCAAACTTCATATCCGAAGGGGAACTTCGCCCACGGCATGTGGAAGAGGAAAAGGAGGAGGGAGAATACGGTGCATTTCTTCCGCCTGATAGCGCCACCACACTTCATCCATTGCCGTCCTTTTGGGAGCTGCACGGACCGCGTCGTCATCCACAGCCGCAGCAGCAACGTCAGGGGCGTCAAGCCGCTGAGGTGAAGGCCGCCCAGAAGGGGACGACGGCTTCCAAAAAGACCACATCAATCCCGTCAACAAAAACAACAACAACAACACAAACAGTAATTGCTGGAGCCGTGCGAGGAGGAAAAGGGAGTGGTGCCGGTGGTGGCGCCAGGGTTGCGTCTGCTCCTTCTTCACAAAAAAGCATGCAGCAGCTGACAAGGCATCAGCGGAGGAAGCTTAAGAAAATTCAGGAGAAGTATAAAGATCAGGACGAGGAAGATCGTCTGTATGGCGCCCTTCTTAATGGCAATCAAATGTCGAAGGTGCAGCTGGAGGTGCTGGCGCTTCAGCGGGAAAAGGAGAAGCGACATGAGTTGTTTCCACCAAAAACATTTGAGGAAAAAAACTTTGATGAAAAGCGAGAAGAGGAGGTTGAAGAAGTGACCGAATTTATTGATGAAGATAAGTCCGGGGAAACTAACAGCCATCATGAATCTTCTATTTCTTCGCTTCGTAACAACTCAGCTGATGGGAAAGAGGAGCAAAAAGGGGAGGGGGAGGAGGAAGGGGAGGATGAGAAACACAATGCGGGTCAGCCGCAATCAAAAACACGTGCGGTCGCGACTTCCGTAGAGGAGTCTTGCATCGCAAACGACGAGGAACTTCGCCGCGAGTGGCAGTACTTTACATCACAGCCAAAGCCGATGGATAACATTGAGTATGCCTTGGCTGTTTGTGCTCCAATGAGTTGTGTAATCCCATACAAGTACCGTGCGGAACTGTCATTTGGGAACGCTAAAAAAGGCCAGGTAACGACTAGTCTTCAGGGGCACTTTTTGGCAATGACTAAAGGTGTTGAGAATGCATCTGAGGTACGTGCCGTGGAGTTGTTGGATGCAAATGTTGTGATGGAACAGCTCCGCGGAAATCTGAGGTGCCTCACGAAGAGGCAGAAAAAATAGAGACGGTGTGAACCCAGTATGGGAGCCTTTATTTATATTTCTCCTTCTTTTCTTTTCTTTTCTTTTTTCTTTTTTTTTTTTTTTTTTTTTTTTTTTTTGGTTTGCTTGCATGTTTTTATGTGTATTTGAATCTATTTGTTTGTGTGCGAGTGTTTATTTTTGAAGTTATTTCTCACTCACACCTGTAACCCTCTTGCGCTTGACTCATTTATTGTCCCAATGTTTCATTTGGCAGCAGAAGTAGTCGTCATGCTGATGGTGAGAATACCATATGCTTTTATGCAACTATATTTGCCGCGTTCACTTCATACATGTCGTTTGGTTTCTTTCTTTTTTTTTTTTTTTTAAGGTTTATTTGCCGCCTAATTGAATTTTTTGCTCAATTCACTAACAGCCATGGTGAATACACATTACAAATACACCGTCATGGTTGTTTGTTTCCTACAGCCGCAGTATCTTTTTCTTTTCCCCTTTCTTTTTCACTTTCTGCTGACCTTCGTATTTTATTTTATTTTTTATTTTTTTTTCCCACCCCCAACAGGTTAGGGATTATTTGTCTACAGTAACAACAAAAGCAAACAAAACCAACAAAAAAAGAGGAATTACCACCACCAGGGCTTACATTCCAAATGGCTGATCAACTGTCCAACGAGCAGATCTCCGAGTTTAAGGAGGCATTCTCGCTGTTCGACAAGGACGGCGATGGCACCATCACGACGAAGGAGCTCGGCACGGTGATGCGCCCACTGGGCCAGAACCCGACGGAGGCGGAGCTGCAGGACATGATCAACGAGGTGGACCAGGACGGCAGCGGCACCATTGACTTCCCCGAGTTCCTGACGCTGATGGCCCGCAAGATGCAGGACTCGGACTCGGAGGAGGAGATCAAGGAGGCGTTCCGCGTGTTTGACAAGGACGGCAACGGCTTCATCTCCGCCGCCGAGCTGCGCCACGTCATGACGAACCTCGGCGAGAAGCTGACGGACGAGGAGGTGGACGAAATGATCCGCGAGGCCGACGTGGACGGCGATGGTCAAATCAACTACGAGGAGTTCGTCAAGATGATGATGAGCAAGTGAGCGACGTGTGGCGGCCCTGGCGGGGAGGGAGCGAAGCCGACAGTGACAGGCTAATGGGGAAAGGAAGGAGGGAAAAGGAAAGGAGGAGGTGTCACTGGACGGATGATGATCAAATGCCGTAGCCTCACTTAACCGAGGTGAGGTTTGCGATGTGTGAAGGGAGGAATTTCCAGTGGAAAAGAGGGGTAGAAATGCGGGCTTCCATGTAAGCAGACGGCACGCCCGCACTCGTCGTGTGTAGAACGAAAAATAATAATAATAATAACAAAGAAGAGAAAAAAGGAAAAGAAAAGTGAGGGATGCGAAAGACACAACAACAACAACAAAAATACACAAATTTTTTTTACTATTTTGTTTGCTTTTATATTTTTGATTTGGATGACAAAGGAGGAGGATGTAATGAGAAGGCGGATCGGAGAGGGGAGAGCCCGTGTGGGAGCCATGCGCACACACTTAGAGAGATACAGATGCATGTGTGCATGCCCGCACCGGGGATTGAAGAAATTACGACGGGAAGAAATGCAGCGGTGGGGGGGAAAGGCGGGTATGTATGACAGTGACGGAACCAAAGACATGATGAATGCACGCAGCCCAGTGCCATTATTTTTTTGCCTCCACGGGCACTCCCTTGCTTTCCGATAGATATTGACGTCTTTTTTTTTTTTTTACTTCTCTATACATGGAGCGATGGGAAGGCGGTGCTTGGGAGCGGGTACCAGAGCAGGCACGGAGTCAAGACCGCAATTAAGCACGAAGATGAGAAGATCGGCAGACGGGGTAAAGAAGTGGCGGAGGGTGTCGTGTGTGTAGCCTCATTGCAATCCAAGGCGGAAATAAAGCAAAAAAATAAAAAAAATAAAAATAAAAAATTAGGCAACTGAAGGATAGGGGAGCGAACATATATTTGTGACTGCAAGTGTGCCATCACCGTCATTTATCCCCAAGAACCCAATGACCTAGAGTCATCCTCATATATATATATATTGTTTGTTTTTATCTCTTTCCTCTCTCTCTCTCTCTCTCTCTTTCTTTATTTACTACCCTCAGATTTTCATTTCACTTTCTTTTGGCATACCTTGCGTATGATTCTTGTGTGTTTGTCATTTTCCATTTCTACGGGACTGTTGCGGTGTTTTTACCGTGTTGTGTGATCTATTGTCTTTTGATTCTTCAACATTTATTACACACACACACACACAAACGCTTTACGAACTGTGACGGCGATGGCACCACGGCCGGTGCAAGGAGCGCTCACAACAACAACCAACAACAAGAAGAACACCAAAACCAAAACCAACAAAAAAAGAGGAATTACCACCACCAGGGCTTACTTTCCAAATGGCTGATCAACTGTCCAACGAGCAGATCTCCGAGTTTAAGGAGGCATTCTCGCTGTTCGACAAGGATGGCGATGGCACCATCACGACGAAGGAGCTCGGCACGGTGATGCGCTCGCTGGGCCAGAACCCGACGGAGGCGGAGCTGCAGGACATGATCAACGAGGTGGACCAGGACGGCAGCGGCACCATTGACTTCCCCGAGTTCCTGACGCTGATGGCCCGCAAGATGCAGGACTCGGACTCGGAGGAGGAGATCAAGGAGGCGTTCCGCGTGTTTGACAAGGACGGCAACGGCTTCATCTCCGCCGCCGAGCTGCGCCACGTCATGACGAACCTCGGCGAGAAGCTGACGGACGAGGAGGTGGACGAAATGATCCGCGAGGCCGACGTGGACGGCGATGGCCAAATCAACTACGAGGAGTTTGTCAAGATGATGATGAGCAAGTGAGCGACGTGCGGCGGCCCTGGCGGGGAGGGAGCGAAGCCGACAGTGACAGGCTAATGGGGAAAGGAAGGAGGGAAAAGGGAATCGTCGGCGCGTTCCTTCTTTGTATGTCGAGGGTCTTATGGGAATGTACATCCGGATGTAAATAAATTTAAATATATGTTTTTTGGTGTTGTCGTTTTTTATTGTTGCATCACTTTTTCTTTCATTTTGGAATTTGATCCCGCGATAAAGCACCCCATCCGTTTCACAGCTGAGCTGCGCCCATGGAGCAGAGAAGGAGGTTGAAGGGGGTGGGTGGCACGGGGGAAAAAAAGACTGAGAAGGAACCCTAGAGATGTACGCACGCATTTGCAAACGATGGTAAACAAGGGGAATAAACGGGATGCGGAAAAATGAAAGTCAAAGAGAACACAAATAACACAAGGGGAGAATACGCGTACTTTGGGGGAGGGGAGCGGCATCGTCTCCCTTTTATTTCTGAACTGTGACTTGTTGTCACGGCGTTTCTGCAGAACATTTGCATCCCCCATGTTTGTTGCGTACGGATTTTTTTTTTTTTTTTCACTATTCTTTCTCTACCTCTGCGATGGCACCACGGCCGGTGCAAGGAGCGCTCACAACAACAACCAACAACAAGAAGAACACCAAAACCAAAACCAACAAAAAAAAGAGGAATTACCACCACCAGGGCTTACTTTCCAAATGGCTGATCAACTGTCCAACGAGCAGATCTCCGAGTTTAAGGAGGCATTCTCGCTGTTCGACAAGGACGGCGATGGCACCATCACGACGAAGGAGCTCGGCACGGTGATGCGCTCGCTGGGCCAGAACCCGACGGAGGCGGAGCTGCAGGACATGATCAACGAGGTGGACCAGGACGGCAGCGGCACCATTGACTTCCCCGAGTTCCTGACGCTGATGGCCCGCAAGATGCAGGACTCGGACTCGGAGGAGGAG